GGGCGGGTCAGGAGAGGTCTGCCACGCCATGTGGTCACCTCCGGGGCAGAAGGAATCGAACTCATGCGGAAGCGGCTTCAGATTCTCAGTGCTGTGCTTTAACCCGCTGCGCCACCAGGGAGGGCCTCTACTTAATTTTTGAGGGGGTGTTTTTGTATGGTGTTCACATATTTTCTCCCATTCAGCAAGGCTTCTTTTTGTTTTAGTAATAACTCCTTTTGCTATACAGAAACTTTTTAGAGTGATATAGCCCCAATTGTTTATATTTTCTCATTTGTCTCCTTGCTGTTGGAGATATAGCAAAAAGAACAAAAACAAGTATTTGTGAGGATGTGGGGTGGGGGAAGTAATGCTCTTATACTGTCGGTGGGAATGTAGACTGTTCTGGGCCATTTTGAAATCAGTTCGAGGGAGGGTCTCAAAAGATTAAAAGTGGATCTTTTATATGTAATTCCATTTCATAGGAATTCCAGCAGGTCTCTACCCAAAAAATACAAAAAAATAAGTAAATAAATAAACCACTTCAAAAGAAAATATATACTTCATTCCATAGGAGTATTTACAATAGCCAATCTATGAAAACTACTTAGGTACCCAAAACTATATGAATGGATCAAAAAGATGCGATATATGTATATTGGAATATTACCCAGCATTTAAGAAAGATAAACTCTCACTGTGGCAAAATGGATGGAGCTGGAAGGGATTATACTAAGCTAAATAAGCCAGAAGGAGAAAGACAAATACCAGATGGTATCACTTATATGTGCAATATAAAGAAAAAAATAAGACAAGGATCAGAAAAAGCCAAACTAATTACTAGCAATCTGAAGGTAGAAAGGAAGCTACCAGAGAGGGCGGGGCAAGAACACAGTGGGAAGGAAACACAACAGACTGTTGTGTAGTACTATAGCTGTTCCGGGGTATGGGAACCCCTAAAGCACAAGCAACAATGTTATCTCAGCTACCTATCTACTTACATACATCTACCTACCTACCTACTTGCACACATCTGCCTATCTACCTACCTACATACACACATATCTTGAGACATATACTTCTCAGATAATTCTAATAGAAAAATGAAGGCAATATGAGGGAGCTAAGTGGCAACAAAAATTTAATGTCAAAATTCTGGTTGTGTGATTCTACTATACTCTTGTAAAATATTATCATTAGGTGGAATGTCTCATTTCTTCCAACTGCATGTGAATCCAGCAAAAAAAAAAATATTAATTTAAAAAAGTAATTTTATTTGTCAGCAAGTTTTAAAGATGAATTCCAAAAAATGAGAAAGAGACTCATGAAATTTTACCTTTTTATTTCCCCTATAAGGCTTGCGAGGAGCAATAGCATTTGCCCTGGCCATTCGGAACACGGAATCTCAGCCCAAACAAATGATGTTTACCACCACGCTTCTCCTTGTGTTCTTCACAGTCTGGGTATTTGGAGGAGGGACCACGCCCATGCTGACCTGGCTGCAGATCAGGTGAGTGGTGCCGCTTAACATAAGAAATCATTATAGACACAATTTGTGCTGTTGCATTTTTGATGTTGCTGACCGGGTCGAGTGCACAATAGTAAGTCTGTGCATAAGCTCTTCTTGGGGTAAAGTGGACTCTCATTCATGAGGTAAAACAATGTGACTTGTTACAAATAAAATGAATTTTCCTAGAATTCTAGAACTTTCAGGGTGATGTCTATTTACTGTCTGTTCCTAGAAATGAGCTTATGTATGAATTCTTTCATTTAATAATACCCATTCAGTACTATAGAGTTTACAGAGTGGTTAAATCAAATCATGTCCTCAAGAGGCCCACAATTCAATAGAATTTATACAAAAAAAAAAAACTATAATACTAATGAGAATATGAATTTGTTTAGTTTTCAATCCCTCACAGCACTTAGGGTATGATTGGGGACACAGAAAATACTATAACACACTTGATTGGCCAGTTGTTTTTTCAGCCAGATGATGGTATATACACAAGAGACAATTTCTCAAAGGAAATGTGAGTCAAGCCTTCAGTCAAGGTCCCCACATAACCAGTGTTTGAAGATGATTGCTATAAATCTAAAATAGATGATTAGATGATTTGACAAAAATGAATAGTCTGTGCCAATAATGAAAATGTGTAAATCTATTACAAAGTGTTGTTGTCTTTGTTTATTTGACATGTATCACACTTTTATATGCCCCAGTATTCAAAAATGCTCTAGGTAAATCACATTTTATTTCTCAATGCTATACACCTTAATGATCATGCAAACCTGTCCTCGTCCCCTCCCATCCTCTGTAAGAAAAATCCATACCCACCACAACTGACCAGAAAAGATCCAGCTGACTGGAAAAGAACTTCCAAGATTATTTCAGACAAGGACTTTGTTGCTCCAGCACAACCTAGTACCTGCACAGAGAGGATAGAATAAATAATTGCTACCTGAAAATTGAGTGAATATAACCAGAAGTGTAAATTGTTTTGTTAAGCATTTACTGATAATTTTCTATCCACTTGATAAAGAGAAAACAGAAGCAGGACTCACACCTTTTATGCAAGAAGAATGTCTAAACTAGGTCAAGTGACTGCTTTAAACTAAAATCAGGGGGAGAAAGGCCTCCTGGGGTAATGTAAATATTGCTTAACACATAAGGGGCTTTGACCAAAGTTGAATGAAGAGAGTTTTGAAATGATTCTTGAATTGTTTTTCTAGGCATATAAATATGTCCTGCAATTTCTTGCACAGTGGTGGTTACCAATAGGCTCCCATGGATGAGTACACATTGCACTAAACTACAGCATTAGGTCCCCTGTGAACTATCAGTAAGATAGTAGAGTGTTCAGGTTGATGGAAAATAAAATTCAATAGGTAGATCCATGCAGGAAGAAAAACTGGGCTTGGAAAGTCAAAGTTGCAATATACCAGTCCACAAAGGAAAAAGAATTGAATACCCTCTCAGGTAAATTGAATAACAGAACCTAAATTAGTCACATGAGCATTTTCTTAGAGTAATTCAACTCACTTTCTACCATTACTTTTCTTTCCCCTACAGAGGCTGACCCCAAATCAAAACCTAGTTTATCCTAAAATGTTTACTTAACTCTCGAACAGTGCTTTCCAAAGGCAATCCTTGGCTTCAAATAAATGTCATAGTTAGGCAGTATCCTGATTTTTGAATCACCAGAGAGAAAAGTGTATAATAGTGGAGCTTCAGACAGATTGAAGCAACTATCCAGTTTATTGGACAGGGCCTAAAAAGGGAAGGTAGTTATGTCAACCCTAGCATCCAGGGGGGAGAGGCCTGAAGGTCAGTTGAGGACAGTGTTATTTGGCCTGCTGGGAGGCACAGCATGGGGTTGTCCCTTATGGGAGTTGACACCAAATGGCACAAAAAAATTCAGCGACAGCCTTGGCCAGCAGGCAGAAAAGAAGAGTGGTAAGGGCAGGAAGGTGTGGTATAGTATTTAGGGAAAGGAGCTGACAGCCTCCATGGTGGTATGAAGGCTTAAAGCGTAACACTATGAAGCTATCCGCAGCCACTGCAGCAGGAGTTCAATCTCTAACTCAACATGCTGCAGCAGACCTCTCCTAACCCACCTGCTGCTACCCTCAGCAGTATATTTCAGTAGGTCTTCCTGTTTTGTTTCCCAGTCTATCTATGATGAATCCTCTCACTGTCCCTGCACCTCTAGCTTGTACCCCAATTCTTGTATGCATAAATAAATAAATCTTAAAAAAAAAAAAAAAGGAGCTGGTAGAAAGCCAGTCTGGCACACAACGTAGAAATGTCAGCTGGGAAGTAGCATGTTGATCTGAAATCTAGGCAGACAGACCACCCATGTAGAAATCAGAGTGGGGAAGCTGAAGTGCATAGGTATGTGAGTACCCAGGAGGTCACCCCAAACAGGCAGAAGATAGGACAACAGAGCCACATTAAAACCAATGGTTCTCAAACATGAGCATTGGGATTACCTGGAGGGGTTGTTAAGCCCCCAGTTTCTGATCTGGTGTGTCTGGGTCAGGGTCTAAGAGTGTGCATTTTTATCACATTCCAGACAATGCTGATGCTGCTGGTTCCAGCATCATACTTGGAAACCAACTGTTGGTTTAGACTTCCTAACCCCAAGATGAAAAGGAGCTCATAGTAAATAGTGCCAGATTTGCCCACAGACACACCTAACCTGCATCTTGAGTTCCTTAGCACATACAGTGGTGGGAGGCAGGGACTAACTAGAGGAGAAGGAGCATTATTAGTGAAAGGGAAATAGAGAATTCTAGAATAATATAAAAGAACAGGGTCATAAGTTAGTGTATGTACAACTGCGTATACAAACATGGCATAAATTTGGTTATAACAATATCATCATATGTTCCACTTCTCTGTCATGGCTTATAATGTCATCAAAAAAATCCTCAATCTCATGTATCATTTGTAAATGATAGTTGTCCATGATTTAGACTATATTTAGTTAGACTTCGCTTGTTTGCAGAGCCAAGTCTCATTAACCAGCTTACATGTCAGATTCTTTCAATAAAATAACAGAATATAAGTAAATTAGAGCTTTAATAAAATGTCACGAATGGGGAAATCAAGAGACAGAAATGCAAATGTCCTGTGAATTCAAACATCCTCACTTGACATATTATTTATGTACATACTCTACATTACCTTCTTGATTTTTTTCAATTCCACATTTTTCTTTTAAGCTATTAGGCATGTATTTGAGATTTTTTTAGCCCTATAAAACTGCCATGAAAATACAACGGTCACAATAGAAATAAAATGTTTTATATAAGATTTGATATATTAATATGAAGTTGTACTTTTATGGAGTCACTGAGAAAGCAATGATCTTATGCTTAGAGAAACTCAGACTGATCTTTACATATGAAACAAATTCTTCATTTTTTTTTTAAAGATTTATTTATTTATTCATATAGAACTGGGGTACAGGCCAGAGATGCGGAAGGTGAGAGGATTCACCAGAGACAGAGCGGGGAGCAGAACAAGCAGATCAATGAAGTACACTGCTGAAGGGAGCAGCGGGCTGGTCAGGAGAGGTCTGCCACGCCATGTGGTCACCTCCGGGGCAGGCGGGAATGGAACTCATGTGGAAGTGGTTTAAGATTCTTAGTGCTGTGCTTTAACCCGCTGCGCCACCAGGGAGGGCCCAAATTCTTCATTTTTAAGACTTGTCCTAAACATTCACATTTCTTGTCCTAAACTGAGTCATTTTCTTTAAAAATAATAAAATATTTTAAGGCAGCATTTGAAATAAATCACCGATCTTTGATTCGCAAATTTCTAGAGAAAAAGAAAAGATGCCGTCAGTATTATTTTGGAGATTTTCACATAAAAGGAGGCAGAATACTTTCTTGATTAGAATCTGGACCTCTGCCTGCAGTGGAATACATTTTACATTTTACTCAACCTCTCAATCTCCAAGGACCAACTCTGCCGTTAATCAGCAAACAAGATTATTTACCAAATGAGCACTTATATTTACAAATAAACCTCAAAAACTAACAGGGCAGAACATTCTGGCAGTGGTAATTCATTTTGGGTATAATCTATCTTTAGTTTGAGATAGGCCATCTCACATGAAACTATCAAAGCACGTGAGGATAGAGATGATACCACCGGGCAAATCATTCCTAAGCTCCCCTAGTAGGAACACTAAACCATCTCTTCAAAATATCTGGGCACTAGAGCAGAAAGCCTTGCAACCAGAGCCGTACAGAGTTTGTATTCCAGATGGCACTGGACAGTGGTCTCCCCATGACTCCTTCAGTTTCCATAGTTTGACTTCTAACATCTCGAACAATAAGAGGCAGCTTTATTACACTATGCCAGATATTAAATAATGAAATATAAGCACATAACCTCTTTGTGAGTCAGCTGGATATTAGCAGAAGCTACCTCCTAAGCCAGGCAAAACCAGCCTGGCAAAGTGATTCAGGGCCGCATCACATTCTGCAAAGCCGGCCACCACCCCTGACAGCCTGAGCCCTGAACCTGCAGGCCCAATCAGTGCTTTCTTTTGTCACCCTAAATAAGTAAGCTTATCCCTGACCCTGCAATCTACTTGGTTAACAAATTCTCTGAGGAGAAAGAGGTGTGCTTTTATAACCAAGACAGACCTGAAGGAAACAAACATGGGAAATTTTCATCCATCCTCAGTGACTGAGTTGACCTGCCCATGCAGCAAAGAGAAATTTTCTTATGCAAGTTTTCTCTTTGGCCCAGCACAGTTAAAGGTAAACAAGTCAATCCTGTTCCAAAGTAGCTAAGGTGGGATGACAGAGGTGTTTGTCTTCCTTAGTTATAAGATTTATGGCCCTCACAAATCCCTTTCCTAGCCCCATTTGGGATGCTATGTTAGCTTGCTGTTTGCCTCTGCCACAAATAAAATAAAAATTGTACATGTCTGTATAGCTGGCCTGTATCAATTGCAGAGTAAATAACTTTTTGAGAGTATGATGCATTCA